CTTCACCCCAAACACGGGTTTGAGAGGCAATTCCATGCACAAGTCGGCTATGCATCCGAAACCACGGACCCGCGCAAATCGAATATGTAACTCGATGCATCCCAAACCCGGGATTGATGCAAATCCTGCGTGCAAAAGGTGGTGGGAAGCATAAAAGGACTGGGCGACATACATACATGCATACACACATGCATACACACATATACACATACATACATGTCTATATACGCATACCCTAAAACATAAACCCCTCAACCCGACACCTATGGATGAGAAGAGGGCTAGTAAGAGGTCTCTGGCCAGGTCGCATCACGGATCTGTTGATCTCCACAATCAGGGTTTGGGGTGGGGGTTTAAGATCACGATCTACACGCCCTCCCAAACTCGAACTAACATGAACTCAAACGCTAGCAAACCCTCGATTACGCCTACGACCACAGAGCCAAGATCTCCCACATTCCGCTTGACTCCCTCCGGCCTGGGTTCATCGCTTGGCGCCTTTTCAGGCTCAGATTCATGGGTTTACTGAACCTTCAACCCTCAGCCCTGAACCCTCAACCCTAAATTGGGGTTGGGGTTCGCAAAACCACAGAGAAGGGCCATGTACGGTTGACCGGCCTTGCACCGGACGCAAACCGAGCAAAGGGAAACAAAGGGAGACAAGACGCCCAGGAACCGGGTAAAGGCCACCCACATGAAGGGAGACAAAGGGAGACAGAAAGGGAGATGAAGGGAGACAAAGCGAGACAAAGGGAGACAAATCGAGACAATGCTCAGGAGCCCGACAAAGGCCACCCACATGAAGTGAGACAAAGGGAGACAAGAATCTCAAGGAACCCGGCAAAGGCCACCCACATGAAGGGAGACAAAGGGAGACAAAGGGAGACAAAGGGAGACATGGTGCCCAGGAACCCGGCAACGCTCACCAGAATGCCGGCAATTCCTTAAACGAATTTAGGACCCAACAGTAGAACTGTTTGGGGAAAAACAAGAAATTATACGCTTCCAAGCACTCAGACAAGAGGCACGGGGGGGAGTGCTTCTAAAAACCCTTAAACCCTAAACCCTAAGCCCGCAAACGGAGCCATCCCAAAGACCTGCAAGGCCTCGAGCCCTCAGCTTCTTTCTCCCTATATAACCCTTTGCAAGGTGCTTAGGGTCTAGAGTTTTGGCTTTGAGTTTAGGGCTTAGAGCTTAGAGGGTTTCTAGCTTAGAGGGATGTCGAGAAAAACAGTAAACCACAGCTGGAAACTCATGGCTCATGGCATCTCCATAGACCGCTCTCACAGCAACCCATTTTGAGCTCTTCACAAGCACCGGAGCCTTTTGATATAGGTATGCATATCTTGTGTTGGGGATAAGGCACTATGTAAAAGGAAGTTGGGTACCCGAACAAGAGACAGAGAACCAGCACACGGGTAAGTCTGTAATCCCTGTAGTTCGTCCGAGCCTCTGTTCCGGAGGCGCTGCGCTGCACTCTCCCTGCGGATGGGGCATACAGGACGGTCCGAGAAGCGCGAGTGCTTCTGACTCGAGTTTCGCCCCTGAGCTGTATCTCACTGGTTGGAAGAGCCAGAGCTCGAAACCTGCATCATCATCAGTATCCCCATAACATAAACCAAACGAGTTTTACAGTTCATAGTAAGCATTAGTCGAGATTAGTGGCAGCCTAGGGTATTGGGGAGCTCATTAAGCCTAAGCCCTAAAGTTTCGGTGTCTGCTGGCCTTGGGGAACGATGCGTCCCAAGTGTCCAGGGAGCACGAAATCCGAAATGCCAGACCTCGTTCTAAGACAGGGTTTAGGGCTTAAGCAGGGTGACCCAAACTTCGAACAGGCTGAACATGCGAACTCACTTGTTTTTTTTTTTTGGGGGGGGGGGGGGTACCCAATGGGCACCATAGTTGCTCAGGGTGTTGCAGGGTGTTCTGCTATTTGGCCTGAAAGAGAATGAAAAGTAAATAAGCAGCTAAGTGACTGCCAAAACCCTAAACCCTAAACAAACCCCAGAACCTCCCATCTTGGGAGACGACGTGGCGATGGCTGCGCACACGGCAGTGACGCAGGGAATGCGTCTTCGGGCAGCCTGCTTGGAGCAAGTGGGGGTCCAGGTGATGAAAATTCCCTTGCAGAAGGGGTATTGATTGGGATGTTGCCCCTTATACTAACAGTCCTTAATAGAGACTATAGTACCCCTGTACCCCTATTATAATCCCTATTGAGGACTGTTAGTATAATGGGGGATCATCCCAAGGTATTGAGCTCTATGGGAAACTATTGCATGCGCACACGCCTTGCGTCGAGACCTCGTGGACAGTGCAGGATCCATGGCTGCAGGCAGCTGCTAGCAAACAGACCCTGACACCGGCTGACCCACAGTACATTGACCCCAAAGCCCGGGCACCCTCAGCCAAGAAATAGTTCATCCTGAGCCCACACCCCAAAGCTGGCCACTTGCAGTGTAGGTCCGAGTCTCATCCGGGCTGCGCCACCCAAAACATCCCAAAACCCTGCCTAGAAGCGAAGTGCCGCACAAGAGATGCCCAAAGCTCGTGTTCGAGGTTCCCTTTCGGCCCTGCTTAACTGGAACTTTGGGGTGTTCAGGTAAACTCTCAACCCTAAAACCCCAAATTCCTGGGCCCAGGCCCTCCTTATAGAGAAACAACTATAGACAATAAGTTGACAAATATCTATCTATCTATATCGATCTACATATATATATGTATATATACAAATAAGTACATGTTTAGACATACATTTATATTTAAACCTGTCACTTGCGTGTGCGTGAAGGTCAGGGCTGGAACGCGGCTGCAGACGCTTGATGTACACATGCCGGGCGAAGCCGAGACTTCCCACGGTCGCAACCCCCCCCCCCCCCGACAAAAAAAAACATCATAAGAATAATAATAGTAATAATACGTAGCGTGTCCTGGAGTTCAAGGCCTAAATACCCTTAGGGTTTAGGGTTTGGGATTTAGGGTTTGGGTTACACCAACCCGATCCCGAACCGTCGACCCGAAACCGTAAGGACCCGAATGCACCAGGGGCGCTTCAGGTATCTTAGGGTAGCTACAAACACAAGGACCCATACTTCAGAACCCATTAAAAAAGGTAAGAGACCAAGTAAGAAAATATATACAATATGTACGAACCTTATGTATGTTAACGGATACTTGTGGCGTCTAGCTTTACACAGCCTCAAGTACCTCTTCCTTAATACGCGGTGTCAAGGCAGGATGTTCTCCAAAATATAGTCCCTGTTGTGGGATCCTTGTAATCGTACGAGGCCTTAGAAACATACATGTATACACAGATATATATATATATATATAGAAAATGTAGATCCCCTTGGGCCGGGGGCAGGGGCGCTCTGGCAACGCCGCGCTTCTCCCGCTGGGCCGTGAGGATCTGCGCCTGCGGATGGGGTTGTCCGTAGGGTCCAAAGCGCCCGAAATCCTCAAATGCTAAAACCTGCAACCCTTAACCTTCAGAGAGCCGAAATGCTGTACTTGAGCCTTTGTCACCCCTACATCCCAAAGCCCTGAGCTCTAAACTTCCCCTAAACCTCTGCAAGCCCTAAAGGCCCTCTGAGTCCCCGGAGCCCTAGGGTGTAGAGTTACATGGTCCCTGAATGTTGGTCCAATGCTTTTTTTCAAAAGAGTTCGGAAGCATGGGCCCGTGTGTTTTGGGTAAGATGAGCCTTAAAGCAGTAAAATCCTAAAAAAACCCTTAAACCCTATGAAAACACATATATATATATATGTATATGTATGAACCCTTTAATATACATATACATACAATACTTCGATATACAAATACATCAATTTAAAAAATAAATATAAATATGAATATAAATATAAATAAATACAAATGTACATACACATGCAGCCTGTATTGCCAGCTCACCTTTTTATGAGAGATCGGCGAGCGGCTGGATCGAGTATGCGAGCCCCACAGGCGTAGCCGAGCGACTTTGAGCAGCTCAACTCTCTAAAAGTGCCAGGGTGGGAGGGATTGGGTGCCGATTGATCTTGAGATTTCAGAAATGTGCGGCACTTATGGGCTGCAAGAACCTGCACAGCAGTGAACATGCAGCCTGTATTGCCAGCTCACCTTTTTATGAGAGATCGGCGAGCGGCTGGATCGAGTATGCGAGCCCCACACGCGTAGCCGAGCGACTTTGAGCAGCTCAACTCTCTAAAAGTGCCAAATCTGTCGTAAGGACGTACTGGAAAGGAGAAGAACAAAAAGACAAGACTAGATACACCCGAACAGCTTCGCAAGGCGTTGATTGATGGAGTTGAAGGAACTGCGAGCAAGCAGTTGGGCGAAACTTTTGGCCCAGTTTCGCGGATACCGCTGGGCGACTTGACGCCAGCGAAAAGCGCCAGCAGAGGCGCCTGCCAAGCTGATGTGCGGTTTTCTGGTTCGATTGCACAGCCCATTGCTCCCCCTACAAATCTGACAGGGCGCTCGAGAGTCGACATGCCAACCAAGGACTTGAGTGCGTCTGCGCCAACGAGACCCGTACTGACAAAAATCAGAGACGAAGCGTTGACAGACCCCTAGCTGAACGAGCTCGGCTAAGAAGAGCTGCCTATTGCGCAAGGCCTTCTCGAGCATACAAGGGAGTCCAGACTGCACACAAGCCCTAATGACACCACGAAAACAAGAGCCAAGGTCACTGTAGAGGTGCGCATTGCGTCGACTTTTCAAACCCTGAGGAGCCTTAAGCCAAACCCCAAGCACAGCACCGCTAGAGATCCAACCCCGAACAACACCAAGGACAATGGGGGTTCGTGAGGTCTTCGTTGGGGTGACGCCTGGCGTCAAGAGTGACGACACCGAAGCCTTGGTGGCGCAGAATGCGGGCAATGCCACACGGGCCGCCAAGAAGCTCCAGAAAGACTTGATGCTTGTGCTGCTTTGCTTCCTTGCACGCACGCTGCATTTTTTGACGCAAGAAACGCCTTGTAGACTCAGAGACACTCACAGAGTCGGTAGCGGCAGGAAGTGGTTGCTCAAAGCTGTCAGGGCACCGTCGCCTGTCTGCGAGAGCGCCGCTGACATCAAGTGTGTCGCAGATCTTAGCCTGCTTTCTACGAAGCTGCCATACAGCTGAGTCGCCCCAGGCACCTTGTGGACCTGTTGCTGAGCCAAGGTGGCCTTTTCGTACCTCCTCAAGCTGGTATCCGTCGCCCACCTGCCTCGCCTCTTGATCTCCGACAACGGCATGCCCTTCAAGCGCATCTCGCTTGCGCCTCCATGTCGGTTGCCGTACAGAGTGAGGCCAAGATGATCTAAGCCCAAAGCCGCCGCGCCTTTCTTGAACTCTGCCGCCAGTTGCGCGCAAGTGAAGGGGAACAGATTCACCGCACCCGCCCGTGTCTTCAGCAATGCGCCTAACGCCGGCAGCAGGAACTCGAGGTCGTGGCTGAGCAGGACGCTGTCGTCGAACACATTTGTCTTGCTTGCCTCTCCAAGCGTGCTCGGGGCAAGCACTACTCCCCACCGCCTCATACTTGCAAGATCTGTGGGTGGGACCAACTGCGAGGGGCTCATGCCGATCAGCTCGCCTGGTCGTAGCAGCAGGTCCCACTGCAGCAGCAAAGCCACTGCCATCGCGACCATCATCTTGACAAGGAACCATCCTACCACCGCCACGAAAGCTATTCGAGGGGTTGGCAGGCGCATTTGCGGGGGCGCCAGCAGCCGGTAGCCTTCTAGCGCCTGGATGCTCCTGGGCATTGGGTTTCCACCATGCTTGCCGTGAGAGGGGAAGTGATGTCGAAAAGCGGCGAAAACGTACTCCGCGGCGGAAACATTCGCCCCCTCGGCGTACAACTCGTTGATGTACGCTGTCAGGAGTGCATCCCACGAGGAACTCATGTCTTGATGGGCCCGCGACCACTGCATGAAGGTCTGCAGAACCGCTGCATAGCGGTCCTGCGTCGCCACCCGCCGCACCTTGTTGAGCTCCAGGAAGGACATCTCCCCAGCGAGGATCTGCGCGGTGCCGGCAGCTAAAGGGGGCATCTGCCGGCTTCGCTTGACGCCCCGTGCTGTAGTCAGCAGTGGCGACGACCCAGGCCGGCTCAGCACCCGGGTCTCGTAAGCCATGGCCGTCAGAAGGCAATTCCCCAGGGCGGGATGCACATGTCACTGAGCCTCGAGCGCAGCCACAGGCGAGCTCAAAGTCTTTGAGAGGGCAAAGACGCGGAAAGCGTGAGGGCTTGTCTGCGCAATTCCGCTCTGACGGCACCCAACGAGTAGTGAACTTGCAATCGGCGGCTAGGGCCAAGGCGCAAAGCTCCTGGCATGTTCGATTCGACAGCTGGCTGCGCCCTCGGCCCTTGGTGACGGCAAGGGCGAGCGCGAGGTTGTCAACCAAACAAACATGCCTCTTGCCTAAACTGCGGCGACAGCGCAGTTTGTGCCGGATGCCACTAACAAGCGCTCTCCCTTCAGTTCGCAAAATATTTTCAGTGAAATCCCAAGCTCCACTAAAGACTATATGCCATTCTGAAGCATCCAGAAGATTCGGGTGTACTTCACGAAAATCCCTCTCGCATGTCCGAGCGCACTCGTGCTGTAGCAAGTCTGGAAGGCCGTCCCCGGACTCATCTAAGCCAAGGGCGCTCTCGCGGGCTTTGATGCAGCCTTCGACGGAGAACCTCCAAGCTTCGCTGCACCTGGCCGTTCCGGCGACAGCAGCGGGATCAGCTGTACGCTCACAAACCCCGTAGCCGACTTCGCTGCTATCAGTGGCTGTGAGTGTGGCGTCCCACGGCATGCTTAAGTTTGCCGTCATCAGAGGAAGCAAGGAAGAGGCTTGAAGGATCTCTTTGAGGGCATACTTCCAAAGGATCTTGTCAGGGCGGTCGCGGTGACAGTACTGGTAGACAAACTTGAAAATGGAAAGCGTTTCCCTCCTAAGCAGCATGGCAAAGGTGAAATGCCCAAGAACCTTCTCAACGATCTTAGGGCTCGGTGCGCCTTGGCGCCGCTGCAGCGCCAAAGCTGCAAGGCGCAGCTTCCAAATCCGCCGAGGTGTCAGCGAGATTTGGCTGGCTTCGCCATCTATGACCAACCCAAGCCCCTCGACAACAGTCTGAGCTCCAGTGACCTCGTGTATCCCAAAGCCCCATTCTTCAAGGATTGTCTTCATCTTGTCAAAGTACTTTTGCGTCAGCGCAGGATCGCCTGAAGAAACGAAAAAGTTATCGACGTATTGGGCATGCAGGACCCTGCCCTCCGAGACAGGCCCAACCCAACATCGATCCTCAATTCTGTCCTCCTGTCGCAATCCCGCGCGCAGAGCTGCAGTTTGAAGCAACTCTTGACAAAAGAACAGAGACCAGCACCAACCCATAGGTAGCGTTGCATACTCTGGAGTGACATAGTCTTGGGCCTTGCACCCGAGTGGCCAGCTGCTTTTCGCCAGGTACTTGCACTGTATCGCCGGCAGCCGGAAGTACTGCCGGAGGTGCTTCGGCAACTGCATGCGATGAAAGGCATCAGCGACATCTCCTGTGGCTGTGTGCAGCTTCTCACCTTCTTCAACTTCGATGCTGCACCAAGCGGAGGGAGTAGGGAGATTACTGTGCCTAGGGGGCTTGAAGAACTGATTAGCCGCTCGGGTGTCAAGAATGAGACGGAGCTTACCATTCTTCTTGTGAACAAAAAACACTCCGACAGTGTGGGCTCGCGTGCCAGGCACAAAATCTAACATCTTAGACTCGGCGAGTCTGCTTAAAAATCTTCCCATGTGTTTGGGAGAGTGAGCCAGAACAGAATCTACGTACGGCTTCAAAGGCTCAGAAGGACTCATCTCTCGTTCTTCAGCAAGAAGCTCTTCAATGCCTTGCGGTTTTAGCAAGTTTCCGACTGCCGGTTCCAGAAGGTCTGCTATCTCAACAGGGAGACAGCCAGGTTCCGGCCATGAGACTAAGTCTTCGCAAAAAACCGCCTTGCACACCATGCGATCGTCACTGTAGGTCGTCATGGTGCCGAGAAGCGCCGTGAGGGCTTCTTCGGGATGAAGCTCCGGGGCGCCAACACGCCGATACTGACGTTCAAGTCTCGTCAGCACCTCGGCGTGTGCACCAACGGGCGCGCCGATGCCACTGGTAGGTCTCCCATAAAGTTCATTGATGGTGCACACTCCTTCATGCATCCAGGCATCGGCAGCTTGCCTCCTTTTAATTCTCTGACGGGTGGCCCGGCAGATGTTCGGATTGAAGATCCCGGTCTCGGCTTCAGGCAGCCTCAGAGGGAGAAGGTCTCGTTGACGAGCTACACCCTCAGCCGCCATAGGTCCAAGCAAAACTGTGGCACTAGAGCGTGCCCAAAAGAGCAAGAAGAGAAGCCAAGGAGCCACGGTGTGACTCCCAGCTCCACACAGGCCGCCTGGACGCGGCCGGTCAAGGCTTGTTTTTCCCGGTTCGCACAAGGGCGCGCTCTTCTCGGGCTTTGCGCTGCTCCTTGTTCGCAAGGTGTTCCTTGTGTAACTCCTCCCCCAGCCACGAGTTGAGGGCCGGGCACACGCACAAGTTGCCTCGTGTAGGGTCTGTTCCGAGGAAGTAGTGGCTTTCGTCGTCCAGAGTCCCGCTGGCTGCAGAACCAAGAACGCGCTCACGCCGCCTGTACTGAAGCATCTGCAGGCGTCTGCATAGGAGTTCGACGCATGCCAGCTCTCCCAGGTTGAGCTGGTCATATTCCAGCGCCAGTTCCAATGCTTTGCAGATGGACTCGTGTTCCAGCACGCCACTGTCTGAAGGTTGCAGCCGACTGTTGCTCCTCCACGCGTTATGCATCGCGAAAGTGGAGCCGCCATTGTTGGCAATGTACTGCCCCACCCACTTTGCGGTACGCGGGCCACGCACTGGCCAATCCGTCCACGCACTTTCGGTGGACTTCTCGACCGCTTCACGAAACTCACGCCGACGCTGGCCCTCTGCATTGTAGCGCACTGCAAGGGTCCGTGCATCGTCTGCTTGACTTGGCTGAGCAACAACAGGGGCCAGTGCCTGAGGAGCAAGCTGCGTCGGCGATGCTGGTTTGGCGTAGGTGGCAACGTCCTGGTTGGCGACAAGCTCCACGAACACCACAGACCCATCTGTAAGGGCCGCCACACCCTTGTGAGCCGTCTGGTGGCCACTGACAACCTGTTGCAAGGGGACCAAGCTGCCACGAACGCGTGCTCCGTCACTTGTGGCCACCACCCACGAGTGCCCAGCTGCGGGTTCAAGGCTTGCAGGCTGAACGGGAGCGGCTGGAGCAACGGCGACTGGAGCGGCAGGTCCAGCGGGCGCGACCAGGCTGTCAAACTCGAGCTGCACTGCTTGTAACTCCGGAGCGGCTGTACCTCGAAGGTGGGCCATTTGGCCAGCCCCGGGGGCTTGCCCCACCACTCCGTCCTCAAAGCGGTAGACGTTGCGCCTTGCCAGTCCTGGAGGGAGAGCGCGGCCGTCATCCAGCACCACCATGCCCAACACATTGGGCGGAGCCAAGCTTTCTGCATAGACATCACCGTCGGGAGTTGCGATGACGAACCACCCACTCGTGCGGCTGTCCTGGTTCGCCCGCACTTGGTGGATCAACAATCGCTCGTGCCACCTCCTCTCTCCCTCGTACAGTACCAAGCAGAACTTGCCGGCCAGATTGAAGGCGTCTGAAGATCCAGCCAGGTATGTGTCCATAGAACGCCGCTGCGACTAGGAAGACAAAACACCCAGCCCACAGCCAGAGTGAGGGATAAGTGCACTCACAGCTACACTGGCAGTGGCAATGCTGTGAGCCAGCGGGGACCACAACAGCCTTCTCGCCACCAATGGCGTACTGCAGATATGCGAGGACAGTGATGACGCCACCAACGGTCTGAATGGCAGCACCGGACATTCTACCCTTCTCCTTGCCGATTGATCTTGAGATTTCAGAAATGTGCGGCACTTATGGGCTGCAAGAACCTGCACAGCAGTGAACATATAAATAAATACATAAACGAGTAAATAAATAGATAATTAAATAAAAAATATCACTAATAAACATATATATATATATATAGAACATAATATACAAACCCTTAAACCCTCCCAGACTTGCCAACAGAGGGCCTCGTAGACATCCGTGAGGTCGCCGAGGCCGGCCGCTTGCTCTACCAGGCGCCTGGCCTGCGAACTTCGCTTGGGGTTTGGGGTTTGGGGTTTGGGGTTTGGGGTTTAGGGTAGTTTAGGGTTTAGGGTTTGGGGTTTGGGGTTTGGGGTTTGGGGTTTGGGGTTTAGAGTTTAGGGCTTAACTTAACTTACCAGCTCTTATTGGTTCTTCGTATGGAATGAAGGAATGAGGGAACGAGGTACAGTATCTTCTAGCCCCCTACGTATACCCTTTAGGGGACTGTATAGGGTACCCGATGCCGTCATTCCCTACATTCCTTCGCCCTCCAGATGCGAACCACTCGCCCCGCAGCCCTAAAGTTAGCCGTCCCTGTGGGTTACTGTTGTCGTCAGTTGCGATTGCTATATACATACCTATGTGTACACATACATGTATATACATTTGTGGATACATCTCTGTGTGTGTGTGTGCTTGTCTGCGTGCGTGTTGTGTGTCTTTTTGTTTTTTGCTTTGGGGGATGGAAGGGGATGTTCCCCCTTATACTCACAACCCTTCATACGCATTTTGGTACCCCCTGTTATCCCTATTAAGGACTGTTAGTATAAGGGGGATCATCCCATGGGATGGCTGTAGGGGGACGGGATACATGAATCACCAAGCCTTGAGCACCGTGAGGATCGCCCAATCTGGGATGCCTCCTCAGTGGTCGAAGGGGCTCTTTTCGAGCTTCAAAAAAGTCCTAAACTCTATAGGGCTTAGGTTTTAGGGTTTTGGGTGTAGGTTTAGGGTTTAGGGTGAACCATGTAGTTAGCAGTCACTGTGTGAACTGCCAGTTTGATTGCCGGCTGGGAGCATCGTCAGCAAAAAACGCCAAGAGCTCGCGTTTTTGATGGCGTACTCCTTAACCGCAATGCCCGAGTGGCATCTATGCTCACCCAGCGCGATCTGGCTCAAACTCTTAACATGCCCATTTCATGAAATCCCTCCCTGCACGCCCAACAGAACCACAGGATGCGTGGTGCGATTTCGTGGTGCCGGGAGGTCACACACTTCTGGGGCCCTTCCGTTTCTTTCGCCCTGCTGAATTCGAACAGGTACAATACTTTTGGCACAATGTGCTACATTTTTGAGAGTTTCGTCCCTTAAATCTGAACCTTCCAAACCCCAGACCTTATAAGCCCTAAACCCATCAACCCTACCAACTCGGCCCTCGACCAGTCGCTGCATGGCGCTGGGCCGCCTCGTCAAAGAGCGAGAGCGGAGCGCACCTGCCCACTTTCAAGCTTGCGCGGTGTGGCATAGGGCTTGAGGGTTTGAGGGTTGTCATAAAAGGCTTGGGAGAAGGTATTTGGGTTGAGCGTGGGGCTTAATTAAGGGCTTTAGAAGCCGTTTATAAACATGCATCATGCGTGCAGCCATATGCGGCTAGGAGTGATGGAGCCGAGGGGATGTGCGGGTTGAGACCCCTGTATGAACTACGCAACACGCCTTGCGCAGTTCAAATTTCGATTCCTTATTTGCAAGAAAAGGCAGGAAAACGGGAACAGGTGCGTGGCTCAGAAGTTTCGGGTTTGAGGCTTAATTAGGCTGGATTTCTGCTTTCGCATCCCTGAATCGCATGAACCGCGAAAACCCTTAGATCTCAAGCGTGTACCTTAAAACTCTCCACCCCTAAACCCTAGCCTGAAACCCTAAACCCTGAACCCAAAACAGCCCTGTGCCCTGAACCTCATATCAACCTTGGACCAGGAACCTCAAATTTATTAACCCTGGATCAAGAAGCCCCCCAAAACTTGTCAACCCCGACCGCCCCAACCTACTGATTCTCAGTAGGGAATGGGGGAACTAGGTAACCTCTATATACTCCCTGAGAAGAGCACATGTAGGGTACCTAATTCCCTCATTTCCCCACTAAGAAGCAGTAGGCCAAACCCTCACAACCCAGAGACTCCAAAACCCCTTGATTTCAGGAATATCCCTTAAATTATAATAGGAACCCTCATATGATTTCAGGTATATTCCTTACTTAAGGGGTTTTGGAGTCTCTGGGAACCCCCCAAACCCCCGCCAGGTCGTGGTGGCGACACGGTGCTCCGCATCCATGCGGCCCTGGGCCCGCTGCAGGGCTCTTCGGAGTTGGTCGGCCCCCATCTGAAGATGTGGGTTTAGGGTCTTAAGGGCTTATAGGGGATTAGGGTCTTAAGGGTTTATAGGGCTTTTTAGGGCTAGCAAGGAAGGTTATAAGTGGGGTTAGAAGTACTGAAGATGTGGGTTAGGGTCTTAAGGGTTTATAGGGCTTTTTAGGGCTAGTAAGGATAAGGTTATAAGTGGGGTTCTAGAAGTAGGGGTGCAAGTAGGGCTTTTAAGTACAGCTTCCGTACTTATGACCCTGAGAACCTCGAAGTGAGGGGAAGCCTGGGGAGCGGCTTTCAGGTGTATGGACTTAATTATAGGAATTGTAGGGGGGTTTGCAAGGCAATTTTTTCTTTTTTTTTTGGGGGGGGGGGGGGACAGCCCTACACCTAAACACCTAACACCTAAGCCGTGGCTTGTTTGCGTTGCTGTTGCGGTTTAGGCCCCTCTCAGATTGGGTGTGACAATCATTCAGGGCTTGTAGGGCCTGAATTTGAGATTTTAGGGTGTTGGGTTCAGGGTCTAAGCTCAAGTGTTTACTCGTCTTCGAGGATTTAGGCTTCTAGGATAAATTCTGGTCCCGTTGGCAGTCCCTAGTTATGACCCCACATACTTAGGGTACCCAACTGGCCGCAAAATGTCCTACTAAGTTGTTTTCTCTAGCAGAGGTGGGACCCTTACGTAGACCTTGGTAGAGAATGCAGCCTTGCTGCAGCCTTGACCAACAAGCACAAGCACCACGCACTTGTCAAGACCTGCACACCCAAACACCAAGTCCTGCCTATCAGCCTAGCACACTGATGCCATGCCAGAATGGTGCTCCACGCTACTTTCGACCCTAAAACCAAAACCTGAAATTGCCGGAAATCATTCCTGTATACAGAAATATTCAATATCTGTCATTCGAAGCTGGCGCTGCCTTGCGCTTCGGGCTATCGCCTTGCGCTTCTCAGCGAGGCTTCTACAGGCTAGTCACGCTAATGGCGTTTCGGAGTTGGGCATCTGATGTTTGCTTTCGGGCATATAATGCATACTTCCAAGACTGCAGACTGTACTAGTGTCTGGGGCTTAGAGGGGGGACTGCGGGTTGGGAGGTAGGGATGTTTAGGGGTTTAGGAGTTTTAGGGCTTCGTGTTTGGGACTGAGGGGCTTCAGAGGTTTCTTGAGCTTCAGCTGTTTCGAGGTTTCAAGGGGTTTAGGGTCTAGGGTTTAGGGGTTTAGGGTTTAGGGCTTGGGTTGCTTGAGGAAGTTCCAGGATGGCGATGCTCGCTGGGCAGCGCTCTTATGGCCTTTAAGAGACTTAAGCACCCCTAAACCCGACACCCCAAACCTTGAGCCTTGAGACCTATAGTCCTACCCAAAGTATGTAGGTTTTGGGGGTTTGCAGTACGGGGGTTTTGGAGCGTGTTAGGGTTTAAAAGGCTTAGGGTTTAGGATCCTTAGCCGCATACATCAAGAAGGACTAGTCGAGCCTGCGTCTCCTCGCAGCACTTGGCGCACGAGCTGATCCTGGCAATATCGCCCCTCGGCTGCTAAACTACCTTCATCTACCCTAAGCCTAATTAAACCCTAATCCCTGAACCCTAAACCCTAAACCGCATGAAACCCTAAACCCTGAAACCCTGAATCCAACATAGGCAGCTACTGCCTGGCTCAAAGCTTGCTAACCTGCCACTTCACCAACTGCCATCATCAGCAATGCAATGCAACTTGCGATGATCACGAAACTCATACAAAATGTGTACCCAGGTGTTTGCTGGAGTTGCCCAAGCATGCCTTACAAGAGCCACGCTGCAAGCTTGTGGGATCTTTGACATTCTTTTTACAGCACAATCTCATTAAACCATTACGATTTCCACTATGTTCATTATCATTCTGATTCTTGGTACTTGCTCATCTCTACCATCACCAAGAAACCACCCACATAAGCCATAATAGTGGGATCATGGGCCCCTTACACCCCCCCCCCCGGGTTCCTTGTGAACATCACCATCATGATTGGCTGTGTTGAGTGATGCACATGATGCTGGGACAGCATATCACCAATGTAGTAGGGGCCTGTGACTCTGGCATCAACGCGTGGTGCGAAGGCATCAGCATCACTCCAAACAGAATTACAGAACTATTTTCTGTCTTAAACAAAGCTGCGCGAAAGCTGTGGCTTCAAGAACTGGCACGGGACACACCGCTTGTAGGAACAGCAGTGGGAGACCGAACAGCCTCAATCGTGAACCCTGAACCCTAAAGCCCTGAACCCCCGAAACAAGCAAGTCCTTCATCCACGAAAGTCAGCTCTCCAAATCCTACTCTCTTTGTTGCCTGCCTAAACATCTACCAGGTTGTCATGATGAACGTGATCCCAAAGAAGACAGCATAAGTTTTGGCAGTTGGGAGAGCCTCAAAGCACATAATTCTAGGTACTAAAACCCGAACCCAAGGAGTCCGAGGCTCCATCACTAAACCCTAAACCCTAAACCCTAGACCCTATAGAACCCTAGAACCCTAGAACCCTAGAACCCTAGAACCCCAGAACCCCAGAACCCGAGAACCCTAGAAGCCTAGAAGCCTAGAAGCCTAGAAGCCTAGAAGCCTAGAAGCCTAGAAGCCTAGAACCCTAAACCCTAAACCCCAAACCCTAAACCCTAACTTCGCAAAACGAAAGCTCCCTCTGTTGGCACCTCCTGGTCCTGTTCTCCGGTCTCGGGAGCCTCGTCCTCGCACTTAAGGATTTAGGGTTTGGGGTGTGGGGTTTAGGGTTTTAGGGTTTTAGGGTTTAGGGTTTGGGGTTTAGGGTTGGGGTTTAGGGTTTGGGGTTTTAGGATTTAGGGTTTGGGGGTTTAGGGTTTAGGATTTAGGGTTTCGGTTTAGGGTTCTGGGCTGCTCGGGTTCCGGAGTGCACAGAACCCCCCCGAGTGCTAGCTGCAAAAGCGCCGATGATACTGTGCCAGGGTGGAGACTCATAGCAGGCGATCGTCGAGTCTTGCCACTCAAACCTCTCATTGTCACACAACGTCGTCTGATAAGCGTGCTCAATGACAATGCAGCTAATGCCCAGCTTGCAGTGGCTAACCCAAAAAAGGACCAAGTTGTCAGAACCCCCGCAGGCTGCTAAAGCCCTGATGTTAGTTAGGTCCTTGGGGTTAAAGCCCTGAATATTGTGGCTCAGCGTTTTGGCAGCTTTGGGGCTTCTGAAAGCACGGCCGAGAGTGCAAAACTGTTGCCCAAAAAGCCTTCGCCCCCCGCAATACCCGCAAACCTGGAACCTTACATCCTTAACACCCGCCCGAGAACCCGAGCCTCGACACATCAAATTTCATCATGAGGGCAGCCCTGGACCCTGAACTTCAGAAAGCGGGGCCTGATCCGACGCCATCACGCATCAGGGGCGGGCGCTGCAGGTACATGATTTGCTGGTTTCGGGTTCAGGGTCTAGGCTTGGGGCTTGAGCGGCTGGGGTTTGGGGTTCCTTGCTGGTGCTAGAGGGGGATCAGAGGTGCTACTTTAGGCATATAAGGGACTATACAGGGATGATTCTAGGATCCGCTTCGTGAAGTTGCTTGCGCAGACGAGCTTTCAATCTGCATTCTTCTACGCGAACCCGCACGGACAGCGGCTGGAACACTCTCGCGCAGGCGCACTGCCACCCTAAACCCTAGCAGCCCAAAACGCGAACGTCCGGAAGGAGCTGACAAAACTTTCCTCAGATCCAGATTCTTGGCAAGCAGCTTACTGGTGCTTAAGGGTGAGTTGGGAGTGCATCCCTATTCTCCCCCCCCCCCCCCAAACACCCCTATTGCCTGTAGCAGTGGCTATTTCACTCCCCCACTCCTCCTCAAGCCCAGCGAGGCAGTGGGTTGCTTGGGATCAGGGACCGGTAGCAGCTTTGCAAAAACCACCTTCTAAACATCGTTGTACCATAGGCGTATCATGCAGGTGTAATGAGACGACACATTCTTAAAGTATGCAACTGCTGTAGATAAGTTTTGGGGAGCTCTTCAGCAAAGGTTTAGGGCCTCACCGGACCCCATGTCAAGCAACCCGGGCTCCTTGCAAAAGGTCAAACATGGCGAGCTCGAATTCTCCCGCGCAAGCTCAGATTTGCCGAGTGCGTGCGGATGCTCTTATGCAGGGACGATCATGCACCAGAGGGGATGAGATTGGAGGCGGCAAGGGCCTCAGCCAGCTCAGAAACATAGGGACTTGTTCCATAATTCTGGGGCTTTAAATAAATAGGGGACCCCCACCTTAGATCACCAAAATGTAGGATTCCCTTATCATGAAGACCCCAATGAGGTACCCCATATGTGGGATTGCCTGGCCCCTGAGGCACACAAGCTTTGCGCAGCACTGTCCTAAAGCGCAACATCCTTCAAGCCCTCTCAAGCCTAGCCTCTGAAACTGCAACGGCGCATCTGGCAGGAGGTCCAAAGAAACTGCATCGGGAATAAGCCGGTTCACAGAGAGATTGACAGCGCGCAAAGCTAGCAGAGTCACAAACCCGAATTCGCACGGTCTCAGCGGCTCTTGGGATCTTCGGGACCCTTCAACCATAAACCAACCATGAAACCCCTCCACCCTAAGCCCTAAACCCTGAACCCCTCTCCCGGTTAGGAGCGCGGCATGTGGCTCCGAGGACCCTGTATGCCTGAAGTCTGGGGGGGCTGGATGTGTTTAGGGGTGGGCTTAGGGTTTAAGGTTTAGGCATGTTGGCTTCGGGTTGAGGCTTAGTAGGGATGTTTTGGGGCTCTGCGGCTTCAATGAGAACTTGCGATTGAAGAGGGGTTTCGAGTTTAAGGTGGAGACAGTTTAGAGCATCACCTGAATTAGCAGGTTAAGCCGAAAAAAAACACCCAAACACGAACAACAACCCCAAAGCCCTAAGATGACGAAGCTCCTCGAATACTATTCCCTTATGGTCCCTATACAGATATACAACAATAACCCCCAAAGCCCCTGTTCAAATTATTGCGGCTCCTGTTGCAAGCCCTCTGTAAGCCACAGGAACCTTGGGAACCTTG